GATTTGATTTGAAACTGCCTCATTGCTATTTGTTTATCAATAAAATTATGAAAAAAATAAATAAAATGATCCTAGAGTTTCTGAAGTAACATCTGTGGTTTTGCTGTCGCTTGAGTACACTTTCTGTGTTGATATTTATAGCTCTTGATTTAACTGATTGCTTTCACAACTCATTGCCCGTGAAATTTGCTTTCTTATTTGCTAATGAATTTTCATAGGCTCCTCCTCGGCTAATCCAACTTCTTTGCTTCTATAAATGAGGCCTGTGCTAGGAGATCTGAGCTCCATCAGGGAGTCAGGGGCAGCAACATGATGTCGCAGACCCAGGTCTTCATGTGCCTGCTGCTCTGGGTCTCTGGTGAGAAAAACGAACAGTTCCAAAGTCACTTAGAGTGGTATCTTTGTAGAGTTAAATTTATAATTTTAAAATACAATTTAAGTAATATGACTCAAGCATATATTAATTTACTATAGCATTTGCAACAACATTTTAACAGACTTATTTCAACTTTTTAAAAAAGATGTATTGTGTAGGTATGTGTGCAGGTTTAAACTTTATGCATTCCTGATTGCAGGTGTCTGTGGTGACACTGTGATGACCCAGTCTCCAAGGAACCTGGCCGTGTCTGTTGGCGAGAGCGCCACCATCCGCTGCAAGGCCAGCCAGAGTCTTCAAAGTGGTGGTAGCAACTACTTAGTCTGGTTCCAGCACAAACCAGGACAGTCTCCCAGACTGCTCATCTACTGGGCATTGACGCGGGCATCTGGGGTCCCGGACTGGTTCAGTGGCAGCGGGTCTGGGACAGATTTTACGCTCACCATCAACAACCTGCAGGCTGAAGATGTGGCCGATTATTACTGTCTGCAGTATCATAGCTTCCCTCCCACAGCGATTCATCCTTGAACAAAAACTTCCCCTCAGGCCTCCCCAGCTGCGTGCACAGGGCCCAGGGCACAACCACTTCCTCCAGCTGCCTGAGAGTTTGTGCCCTTTCCTGTGCCCTAGAGATTGTATAGCCCATCGCAGAACATAAGGAGCTCCATGTCTCCTAGATCTTTTGGTATTGGAAACTACATCCATGATATTTGTTCTACTTTGTAATCTTTTATAAAACCTTACCAACGCATGCCCTTAAATGAGGAAGAAATTCATTACCTTAGAGCTGTGCAGGACGAAACCTCACACTGGAATCAGTGAGCTAAAGTTAAGCCTCTATCGGGCTGCTCTCCATTTCTGAGCTCTGGAAGGAAATCTGGCCGCTGCCTTCCTGCATCTTGAGTTTCTTACACTCCTTGGCTGGTGGCTTTTTCCTTTTCAGAGCAAGCTGCATGTCATTTCTCTGGCACTTGTTCCATAGTGACATTTTTCTGTGAACATTTCTACCTGGTTTTCAAACCTGGACACTAAGAAAATGTGCTCATTTGTCGTAATTGTGAATGTAATTTTGCATTCAGTAGAATATATTCTTCAGTCTTCACATCTTGGATTAATTAATAGGATTCTGTGTTTGGTGAAGGATAACTTTGGGTCTCCTTGGAAATCAGGAGCTAACTGAACACATTGATATGAGGAATTGAACATCTAGTTTGGGTCATAGAGATACAGGAGGGTGCAAGAGTCTTCCACACCATTTGAAATTATTTGAGATCCTTGAAGCATCTTCAAGCTGTCTTCATGGAAATGATTTTATGTTTGAAACAGAGTCTTGCTATGTAGTACCACCTGGACTTGATTTCCTTATACTGGCTTTGAACTTGTAGTGATCTTTCTGCCTCAGCCTCCTGAGTTCTGGGAGTACAGGGTAAAATGATTCTTCCTAGCTTTCTTGGTCTATGATGTGCACAATAGAAATAGAGATGGACTGTGTTGCCTATGAAGGACGCGGGGTGGTGTGTCATGTAAAATACAGTGGATTTCTACCAAGGAGTTAGTGTCTATTAAGAACACACATGAATCCGGGCACTGGAAGTGGACAAGACAAACTCTAAAAGCAATAGACAATAACAGCTTGTGTCTTGAATAGGACAAGTTACCAGACTGCGATCGTCCACATTACAGGAAGCAGAGACCCAGCTCATCAGGGAATCCTGCATCCTTCACTGCAGGGAAGGCGGCCGTGAAGTTTAGTTCTGCTTGGGATGAGGGATGATTTCATAAAGAGGGCTTCTGGGCACCCAGGAAATATCAGAGGTGCTGGGTCTGTCCTGTAACCTGAATATGGCTGTGGATACACAGTATGAGCTTCCAAAACAGTCCTACAAATATACACCAAACAGTTGGCTTGTAAGGAATGTAAATTTTATCTCTGTAAGCTTTCAAGTAATGTTTAATAGACCATAAACTCTGTCTCTTAGCTGTATGGAGGAAAACAGAAGAAGCACAAAAATTTCCGTTTCCTAAATGTGACGGGGTTTTGCTAGTATAAAAATCAAAGGCCATTTCCATTTGAGGTTGAGTGCTGAGTAGGGTAATACTATAAATGTTAACTTAATAGAAAATAGAAACACTAAACTCATGTAGTTCTTTCTTGTAGACATGATAACTTTGCATAGACCGTGATATGGCAACACTGGTGTGTGGTTTGGTAGTTCGGTGGATAACTGCCAACCTGGTACAAGCTTGAGAAGCCACCCAGCAGTATAAGGTCACCTTGGGCTTGCGTGCTCTGGAACATTTTGATGCTACTTTAGTTCGGAGTGGAGTTGAACTGGGCCAGTGAGTTAGCTTATTAAAGAGCCTGCTTAGGCAAGCTTAGGTAAAGTGCGGGGACTGCCCCCAGGGCAGGCTGAGCAGGCCAGAGTCCTCGCATGCTGGTGCTTGACTATAATCCCAGCTTTTGGGTGGCTGAAGGCAAAAGGCTCACTATGAGTCTGAGCTATGTAGTGAGACCCTATAACAACCACATACATTTGAAAAAAAATAATAAAACAAAGTAAAACAAATGGAGTTGTACTAATATCAAACATACACTGTTGCTTTTATTTGCAACCTGAAATCTACCCATTTCCTAGCAGGATGGTTGCCTCACCTGGACAGCACTTTCCCTGTCACTGGCAGGAGGCCTGGCACTTCCTTAGGCGATCAGCCCAGAGACAGGATTTGGAACTTGTACTGAGTTGAACACCATTGCGTGAATGTAGGTGAACTACTTAACTTTCCCCGAACTTCATGTTCACCTCTGAAGCATGAGATTAGTAATAGCTTTTATGAAGTTTTGTGAAGGCCAATGCATACCACATGTGGATTGCTCAGGATTGTTCCTGGACACTCAGTAAGTGCCCAGCAAGTCCCAAGCTTTGCTTGGTAGATCTGCCTGCATGGGGAGTATATTCGTAGGTAGGGGTTGAATATGCTTCTCACAGCAACCAGAGCATTGTATAGAAAGAAAGGAACCAGAATGGAGACATAACCCAATTCCTCCCTTGCTTCCACTCTTCAAAGGTCTCATGGTTCTTGAAGCTCCTTGTCATCCCTTCGCCTCTATCTGCAGCTATTGTTCTCACCTGTTGTGTTTGCTGTCTTGTGGGGGAACTTTGTAAACTCCTTCTGTCTAGATCTGTGTCAAAATGAGTCAGAAGAGAGGGGTCTCAGTGTGGTGGATATGGGCTGGCGTGGGCTAGCTTGCCTCCCCTCTTTTCTCCTTTCCTTTTGTTTCCCTTCCCTTTCCTTTCCTTTCCTTTCCTTTCCTTTCCTTTCCTTTCCTTTCCTTTCCTTTCCTTTCCTT